GAAATGTTAAATAATCTTTCTTACTTAAAGAATATATCTAAATCCATTCATTCATATTGGAATAAATGAGGCTTAGAATCATTCATTTTCACATAAAGCTACTAAGTATTATATATTTCCTAGAAATGTGAAATTCCCTAAATAGGTTGACCTGACTTTAAATGTTCAGACATGTTTTTGGAAAATGATAAAAGCCTTCAAGAAAATAAGTAAAAAGTACATTGTTTATTTTTCATGTATAAGTAAGAGATGAAGAATTAAAAGCTCAAAGGGAAGATAATAAATGTGAATAACATACAGGAAGCACTTGACAAAACTGCTTTTATAAGTTATGCTTTTCACTGAGTTTTTTTTTTAAATATTTTAGTGTTTATTTATTTTTGAGAGAGAGACAGAATGTGAGTGGGGGAGGGGCATAGAGAGAGGGAGACACAGAATCCAAGCAGGCTCCAGGCTGTCAGCACAGAGCCTGGCATGGGGTTTGAACTCACAAACCATGAGATCATGACCTGAGCCTAAGTCAGATGCTTAATCAACTGAGCCACCCAGGCGCCGCCACTGAGTTTTAACATTTGCTGATTGAGGTACATTTTTCTGAAAGAGGAAAACATCAAATAAGCCATTCAGAGTTTGGAAGAAAAGTTTACCAAATTTAAAAATGAGAGTAAATTGATTACATATGTCAAATTATGAAGAATAATGATCATATTAAATATAAGCTTATCCTATTAACACTCTGGGTTAATTATTACAGTAAGATATGGAATCACAGCAAAATTTTTAAAAGATCATGGTTTTTCTCCCATAGGAAAACTGTTTTCCCCAAAAAATAATTTTAAAAAGATTATGTTTAGAAAGACATACACTTGTGTTCAGTAAAGCAAAATATCAACAACTTAAACTAAGACATTCTGGATCTTTAGCTTGTAAAATTAAATAAAGGAAATCCCAACTAAAATGGAGCTGGAAAGCCCTGAAGGGGATTATACTACCACTGCTTCTCATCATCAACTGTAGATTCAAATGGGAAGAATCTGATCTTGGATGCCCCAGCAGGAAAAAAAATGGTTTATTATCCCAAGAGGAAGGAAAATTGTCTTCTTGCCCAGCAACACCAACAGCCCATGAGAAACTCTCACATTCAGTCAAGGAGAAGTTTTAACTGTCACCCTCCTATAATGGACTTTTGTTCTAAATAGCCCTCCCATTTTCCTTCTTTCATCAGTAAAAGCAAGTCTCTTTCCTTTGCTCTCTAGACATGCAAATGGTTTGTCATAGTTTGCCTGTCTCGAATTGTAATTCCTCTCTATATGCAAATAAACTCATTGTTCTGGTAAAATAACTGGCCATTTTGTTTTAAGGTTAACAAAATTTCATTAAGTCTATTTTCCCTAAACATAATTGCTATGGAGGGAAAGGTATGAAAACTTCTATAGCAATTTCTGTTTCTGTGACAATAGAAGTAATGATTTTAAACAAAATATTACTGAATACATTGAATATTTCAAAGTAAATAAATTACTACATATTCTATTATCAATTAACCACAAATTTTATACTGGTCATATTTGCATTTGTTGGTGAACAAAATGAACTGCAACAGACTCCTGGGCTATGATATTAAAGCCAGTGTCTGTTGCAATCATTCAGCATTCAGCACAAAGCTCAACATATATTACATCCTAAATACTGATTAGATATATGGGGTGTTCGTGATACTCCAACTCAGTGTACTCTAGCTGTATTTGAGAATTCCATGGATCTGTTCTTGTGTTTATAGCTTAATTAAAAATTACTAGAAGCATTTTTAGGCTCATTTTGATTCCTTCATATCTGAATACAGCCATACACACTCAGTGTCCATAATAGTTTCTGTGCTCTGAGTCAGGCTCTGTGTGACTACTGTATGATTGGCATGTCCTAGTATAAAAGTGACAACTTTTATGTCCACCCTTTTGGTCATGTTGACTTGTTTTATTAGCTGCAAAGACTAAAACATCCTTTTTTTAATGTTTATTTATTTTAAGAGAGAGAAAGTGTGTGCATGAGTAGGGGAGGGGGAGAGAGAGAATCCCAAGTGGGCTCTTGATGTGGGGCTTGATCTCACAAACTGTGAGACACTGACCTGAGCCAATATTAAGAGTCAGATGCTTAACCAACTGAGCCACTAAACCACTCCTAAAACTTCCTTTTTATTTTTTTTATTTAAATAGTTTATTGTCAAGTTGGTTTCCATATAACACCCAGTGCTCATCCCCACAAGTGCCCTCCTCCATGCCCATCATCCACCTTCCCCTCTCCCCCACTCCCATCAGCCCTCAGTTTGTTCTTGGCATTCAAGGTCTCTCATGGTTTGCCTCCCTCCCCCTTCCCCACTATTTTTCCCCTTCTTCTCCCCCATGGTCCTCTGTCAAGTTCCTCCTAATCCTCTTATATGCGCAAACATATGGTATCTGTCTTTCTCTGCCTGACTTATTTCCCTCAGCATAACACCCTCAAGTTCCAACCAGGTTGCTATACATGGCCAGATTTCATTCTTTCTCATTGCCATGTAGTATTCCATGGTATAGATAAACCACATCTTCTGGATCCATTCATCAGTTGATGGACACTTAGGCTCTTTCCATGTTTTAGGAGGTAATGATGAAAAATGAAATATTAGAGAAATATCACTATCACTCCTTAGTAGTCATTCAATAGTATTATTATTTTAAATATTTGAAGAGTATAATTATAGAGATAAATTAATTATTAAATAATCTTCAGATATGAGAAAATGTTCTACAAAATCAAGATCCCTTCTGCTTAAGTAGATTCTTATAATAAATTCTACAATGGAATCTTCCAAGGGAATGTTGAAAGTCTACAATTGCATTAACACCAAACACTGGTGTTAAGAAAATAAAGGATACAATTTCCTCATTAAGAAATTGATCATTTAGTTCTTTTCCATCTGTAGTGTCATTCTATCATTAAAATCAACTTATCAAGTAGATGTTATTCTATTTATTTATAGAATCAACAAATACATGCCTCTAAAACTGGCTAGGTAAGTTTACATTGTGACATCTGACATTTGATCTTTTGCCTTCATCATAAACACTAATTATAAAATAGTGTCAATTTCCAAAGAGAATTAAAGAAACCAAAAATTAGTGCATTAATTAAACCCATGGGATTAAACCTTTCTATGAAAATAGGCATTTTATCCTCACTTTATCTGAGAGCACCTGTAATATTCTGTTACTCTATCGTGTACCTTGAGAACAGAGACCACATTTGATTTTTCTGTATATTTACAGAATCAACCACAGTGTCTGGCACATATTTGGAATATCTAAATGGTTGTTGAATTAATGCACAAGTAAGTAAATTAGAAATACCTAGGTAGGTCTTATGTCTTCCATTATAATATCCTTGAATTATAAGAATATATTGTCTTTTAAATATCCATATACATGTATAATATTTTGTATGTATGTACTTGCAACAATAAGGGGGGAAATAAGGCAGTTTTGTGTTTGTTTAGTTTGTTTTGCTACTCCATTAGAATGCAAACCTCATGAGAACAGAGACTTCTCTCTTTGTTACTAACAACGTATGCCCAAATTGCAGACCAGTGCCTGGGCCGTATTAGGTAATCAGTACATATTTGCTAAATGACCAAATGAATTAATGAAAGGCAATTTGAGATCGGTGGCTCACTCCATAGAATATAAATAGGAGAGTAAAAAAAAAAAAAATTGCTTCCTGAGTGGCAGTAAAACTAGAAATGAGGTTGGAAGGGAGGAACACATCCACATGGTTAGCAGTGCTTTTTTCTAAGAATTCACCTAAACCTTTAGTTTTCTGTGAGACAAAAGAGAAACTTGGATTTACCCAGGAGGAAGGGAATTAGCAAGCCAGGTGAGAGGGCTTGAGCAAATCCAGGATGTCAGTGAAGAAAGAGATCATTGACACTGTCCAAGTTGGGATCCAGACAGGGCAGAAGGAATGTGTTTTCAAGACTGTGCTGAAAGATTAAGAAATGGGAGAGAATAAAGGGAATGAAGAACCAGTGCAAAAAGACTAGAAGATTGAGAAGTATAAAGATTCGCTGAGACTTTGGAGGTGCTGTTCTGCTGGCAGAAAAATCTGAACCTGACCATGAATAGAAGTGGAGGTTACTGAAACTAGTAAGGTCTAGGGACCGAGTGAGGAGGGTATCAGAAGTGTCAACATCATGGACACTGAGTCCCTGAGGATAGCTGCCATCCAAATAAAGCCTTTTGATATTAAAATTTCCAAAGACACCAAAAAAGCACTGTATTTAACGCACAATCACATCAGGATAATATTCAAGTAAATTGTTCTAAGAAACCATGCACGTTTCAAAACAGCTGCTCAAAACGGTTGCACTTACATTCATGAGTAACATTTTTATTTATTTATTTTAATGTGCATTTATTTTTGAGAGAAGGACAGAGTGGGAACAAGGGAGGGACAGAGAGAGGGAGACACACAAAATCCAAAGCAGCCTACAGGCTCCAAGCTGTAAGCACACAGCCTGATGTGGGGCTCAAACCCACAAACCTCAAGATCATGAACTGAGCCACCCAGGTGCCCCATAAGTGATATTTTAAAATATATAGGCCACACGCTCAGCACAGAGTCACCTTGTGTCACTCAGATTACTTAGAACCTAGAACAGCCCTTGCGCTCCACCCTCCGGTCCTTGCCCCCTATCCCCTCCCTCCCCCAGTCCCAGATCCCTTTCCCTCTGTTCTCAAGGATCCAATCCATTAACGGATCCTTACCCATCACCATCTCCTAAGTAACAGATGGACGTTTCAGTTCCAGCCCAGAACTCCAGAGCCACCAGCTCAACAGCCCATCCACCTCTAGCCTTCCTCATTACCCACTCTGAAAAGGCGCCGGGAACCGGACACCACCGCCTTCAGCCTCACAGCCCTCGCTCCCCAGCAGCTTTTGCCTTCGCCTTGGTGCCAGGGCTGCCAGCTATGGCCATGGCATCGCTCTCTACAGTGCTCCAGAACTACCATCCTGACCGCAAGGCTGCCATCAACAGCCAGATCAACCTGGAGCTCTACGCCTCCTACCTGTACATGTCTATGGCCTTCTTCTTCAACCATGAGGACATGGACCTGAAGAACATCTCCCAGTTCTTCCCGCGCCAGTCCCGTGAGGAAAGCAAGCATGCTGAGAAGCTGATGTACCTGCAGAACCAGCGCAGGGGCCACATTCGCCTACACAACATCAGGAAACCTGACCGCGACGACTGGGAGAGCGGCCTGAATGCCATGGAGTGTGCCTTTCACCTGGAGAAGACTGTGAACCAGAGCCTGCTCAACCTGCACCAGCTGGCCACCGACAAGAAGGACGCTCACTTGTGCTGCTTCCTGGAGAGCAACTACCTGTACAAGCAAGTCAAGGCCATCAAAAAGTTGGGACTATCTCACCAATCTGAGCAAGATGGGGCCCCTGGAAGATAGCATGGCAGAGTTCCTCTTTGACAAGCTCACCCTGGGCAACAGCAACAAGAACTGAGTTGGAACTGCCTCCCCACAGCCACAGGGTGCACGGTGACTTCCCCTGGTCACCATGGGGAGCATGCATTTTGCAGTACTGCCTTTGCAAAACGTTCCAGTTTTCTTCCTACAGTTTTGCCATAAATAAATGAAGTTATTTGGTTTCAATAAAGTTATTTGGTTCTTGAATAACTAAATGTCTCTGGTTTGTTTGTGTGCACATCTCTCACCTTTTAAGTTTTAAATAGGTAACAAGGAGTCCCTCTACCTCTCCCACCCCCATCTGTAGACAGCTCAAGATCTCTGAAGATGGAGGGAGAAGGTATTCCATGGGACCTGGAAAACAGAATATTAATCTTCCCCTTATAAATGATGTGGGTATATGAGGATGGGGATTGAATGGGGTGAGGTGAGGCCCTGGTGTATGTGAACAGTAAAAGTATAGAAACATGGCCTGATGATCGTGACTGCAGTTGCCTCTGAGGAAAAAGTGAAGGGAACGGGATTGGGCAGGGATTAAAATAAAGGGGGTTTTGGCTTTAGCTGAAATGTTTATGCTCATTAAATAATACAAATACTAATGGTTAAATCTGTATAGCAAGATGGAGCTCTTCGAAGTCAGAATGCCAGAGTACCTCTGACGAGCTCATCCTGGGCAACAGTGTTAATAGGCAACAAGTCTTAGGCCAGCTTCACCCTAGATACTGGCAGTAACTACCTGTGGTCAATGCCTGTCAAATATGGTGCATTACAAAACAACCACTTATGTGTGTTTTCTTTAATTTGCATGATAGGTATATTTGTATGTGTGTGTATATGTATATGTATACATATATGTATAGCAGAGTTCATTGTGAATCTCCAGACTAGATTCTGAATGTTTGCTTAGGAAGACACTCTGCTGAAAAGTATTGCATTATTGGAAATGATATAGCTGCTTTCTAGGCCTTTCCTGAGCCAGGCTGTATTTCTGCCTTTGGGTTTCATGAATCTAATTTTGATTTAGTTTTTGTTATTTGCTACCAAGAAAACTTAAGCCGAGGCACTTGGTAGCTCAGTCAGTCGAGCCTCCAACTCTTGATTTCAGCTCAGGTCAAGATCTCACAGTTGGTACAATTGAGCTTTACTGTGTCAGAGGGGAGCCTGCTTGGGATTCATTCTCTCTCTCTCTCTCTCTCTCTCTCTCTATACCTCTCTCTGCCCCACCCCCTGCTCATGCACACTGAGGTGGGATCTTTCTCTCTCTCTCTCAAAATAATTAAACTTTAAAAGAAGAAGAAAAACTGAAGCCAATATGTCTTGTTATCACCACGCCTTTACCAGGTTCCACTGTAATTATTTCTAGTAGAATAAAAAGCTCCTCTAGAGTAAGTGCCATTTTTTTTTCTTTATCCCTAGTACAGAGTCCACTGAAAGGAAAAAGAATGAAGGCATGGATGGAATAAATTTTCTTAAATTACCTGGATGGAAATATAGAGTAGTTTAAGTCGGCTACAATAGGCATCTCTTCTCACCTTAAAGTATTTGTTATAATAATTTATAATTTCCTTTATAATTATAGGTTTTAACTCCTTAGACCAGCCTTCCCATGACATCAGTATCAGCCAGTGCCACAAAATATTGGCAAGTGTTCAGTGAAAAACAAATTATATATATATATACATATATATATACACACACACACACAAACACACACACACATACACACACATATGTATAAAGTGTACATTCAATGAATTAGGATTTTTTTCAGTTTTTGTTTACTCTAGGAATTCTAAGTATTTAATGTAAAAAATACATACAGTGAATTTATGACAAGGGAATAAAATATTCATCGTTTCCCAAATATTCTGATCATGGGATCATTTTTCTATGAAATCTCACAGAACAGTACTCTAAAGAAAATAGCTTTGGAAACAATGTCAAAAGATCTCATTGTATGTTGTTCCAGAAGCACATACCTAGAAGCTAAACCTCACTCCCTTTCACTCCATAATGTCATCATGAAATGCTGGAATCTTTGCTGTGAAGTTTCCAGCACAGTAAGTTTTAAGGCAGAAGTGTAATATGGAGAGCCCTCACCATGACAGTGGATAGATATCACACACCTTCCATTTTATTTCCTGATGAATAACTTCCAACACTGTATTTTTCCATCATATCCTAATTTCTGTTTCTAAAAGAATGGCTTCTGGAAATAACATTGATACTTCTCCAGTATATAAACCAAAGTTGAGCAAAGGCCCAAAGCTGCTAAGTAGCTTATATTCTTCACCTATGTATTCATCTCTAGCAGCAGTATTCTTCATTTTGATTCTCCAGATTAGATTGCTGAATTTTGGTCAGTAATATACCTTTTGGTCAAAAGCAGTTGGTGCCTGAATTTTCTGCAAATGAGTTGGCTGTTTTCCCCTCCAAAGCATGCTAAAATCCCTTAAAATGCACATATTTAATTCTAAGAAAAAAATAAGGCATATACACTACAAAGCATTTTATTAGTAAGTCCAAGATTGTTAAATTAATATATAATGAGTAGTGTGCTTAGTGTGCAGAACCTTACACCTCTATCTTTTTCCTCCAATACAGATCATCAACACTGGCTATGTCACTATTTGATTTGGGATGAGCACCCTGTTGCAGTGCATTCCTTTATAGGTTCAATAGAGGGTCTATCAAGTTTCTCTCTAGCCCTAAAGTACACGATGCAATTCTATACACTAAAGCTGCATTACTCCCAAAGAAGAGTGGGCACAAGGCAGTATCTAAATGTGAACTCTTGCAGATTTTTTAATTTAAATTTATTCCTACAACTAGTCTTAGATATCAATTCTCATGACACCTCCAACAAATTTGATAAAGTGCCTATTTTATTCTCAGGCAGATATCATTAAAATACAAAACTATTATCTCCTATATATGGAAAATATTCTATCATTCCAATAAATGATTATACTATGCTAGAGAAGAAGGTGATTAAAGTAAGTTTCTCAACAAGAACAGTATTTCAGTCTGGCCCATCTTACTAACCACAACTTTCATCTATTTACTGTTTGGCTACTTAATTTGATTCAACAAGCATTTATTTTAATAAATGAGTTTGTACTAGGGAATCAAAGTTAAATAAGACATGAACTTGGCCTAGTTAAACCAGATGTATTAGCATTTTGCCAATTTTCTAAGAGTAAAATACTAGTCCAATATGAGATCATTTTAATAACTAAATCAAGAGTATAAGTAGAGTGTTTTCATTTATCACTCTCCACTTTACAAAGAGGTATGCTACACACTCATTCAACAAAATTGCACAAATGAGAATGTAGCATTTTTCAGTAATGTATGAGGAAAAATTATAGGCCAGCTATTCTTCCTCTCAGAACAGTGGACTCTAACTACATCTAAAGCATCATCATAATGACAATCAACTGGGTAAATGATGCTGTCAAAATAACGTGTTAAGAAATTTCCTCTTTCTGATAATTAGAGATGTTACCTGAGAAGGACAGAAAATTTGAGGAAGAGCAACATGCAACTTGAATCAACAGATTAAATTTCTGCAAATAAGATTACTCATTTGTTTACATATTTTATGCTGTTGTTGCCTGGAGACAGGAGACACTTGAAGGTATATTTTACTATTGTGTATCACACAGGACTGCTTCAAAAACATTTTCAAAGTTAAAAAAAAAAAAAACAACTCATTGGTGCGCCTGGGTGGCTCAGTCAGTTAAGCATCTGACTTCGGCTCAGGTCATGATCTCGCGGTTCGTGGGTTCAAGCCCCGTGTCAGGCTCTGTGCTGACAGCCAGATCAGAGCCTGGAGCCTGTTTCGGATTCTGTATCTCCCTTTCTCTCTAACCCTCCCCCGCGCTCGCTCACTCTCTCTCTCTCTCTCTCTCTCTCTCTCTCAGAAATAAATAAAACATTTAAAAAAATTATTTAAAAAACCTCATTTACACTGTAGACTTAAATCTATGAGAAATCTATAGGTAAAAATAATCTTTAAAAAATTTAGGGCAGCCATAATGGCTGTTTATATAAGAAAAAAATACACATACTTGTTGGAGGATTTTATAGCCTCATTACTTGCATCCATTAATAAAAACAGTTAATACTTACTGAGTTTGCCATTTATCAGGTTTCAGGTTAAGACATATACATTAATTACCACATTTCTGCTTCACAACAACACAAGACGTGGTGCTATTATTATCCCCATTTTACAGATGATCACAGTGGACTCAGAGATACATTAATTTTCTGATGTCCTACAATAAGTGGGGAACTTGAATTTGAACATACATAGTGTAACTTGAAGACCTAGGTACGTAACCATTGATCTATATGGTAATAATAACTAAAGGAGAAGCTTACAAGTCCTATGAGTTATGATAACATGACAAAGTCTGCTCTGAGAAGTTAGTAGGGAAGAAATCCTACAAGCCTGACTATACTTACAGAAATCTCAATTCAGCAGGACATACCTGTAAAAGATTAATCAGCTAAGTGCCAACAGTACAACAGTACAAACTGACACAGCCACTTTTTAAAGTCGAAGAGATTTCTGGAATTAGCCAAAGGATGGTAAATTTGGACACAGAATCCTCTACTTTGCTTTCCTGTAACTGCACAAATCCAAAAAAGTGAACCCTGGCTGTGACTGGGCCTAAGTCAATTGCTGGGAACTTGTGAAGAAATTCATTGGAGCTATGAAATAAAAATAGAAAGATTAAGTGCAAATAGGAAGAAATTATTTTAAATGGTTAGTACAGTAAGCATATTCAACCAATCAATATAATGTTTAGTGAGAAATAAAAATTACATGAATGAGCATTGATTTTTCCCATCCAACATTCTGGTTAGTAACAGGGTATGGTTACTCTATTGCTACCAATCTGAATTTCACATTTTAAGAAGATTTTCAATCTCTTTCTTCTAGAGGCCTCTAATAAAGTACTAGAAATTGT